GGGCAGGAGGCGGGGCAGGCATTTATTTGTTTCAGCAATGACTGAGGATCCCAGGCTTCTCTTCCTCCAACTCTTCCAAAGTCCCTAACCTTCTTGGCAGCCCAGCTCTTTTCTCTTTATGACTCCACCCCGCCAAGGCTCCTTGGCATTGCTAATGGATGACACCTAGGGGACTTCTGAGTACTCAGGAGATACCTAGGACCCTGGTGGGACGTTAACCTTAACTTGGGATTCTAGCAAATTTCTAGGGGCCATTGTTTTCAAGCACTGCTCCTCACTATTCTGACAGAAACATCAGCTGCCACAGGAGTAGCTCCAAGAGCCAGACTTGTTGGTAAGAAGATGGAGCAGGAGAAGAGGGATACTGGGAAGCCCACCCATCTGCTAGCCTTGCAGACATGGTAGTGCCTTCCTTTCTTGCTTTGGGGTTATAGAGAAGTAACCCACAGGACTCACGGCTCTAGGGGAGTAGGCCTTTGCCTGTGCTCTTAGCAACTTGAGCATCCCCCTGGCTTGGGTTGAGCTGGGCTGAGCAGCCCTCTGCTCAGTCACTGTGGTTCCCTGCACAGAGCTTCGCCTCCCCAGCTATCAGCTCCCGAGACTGCCCCAGAAAGCAATGGGATGCTTCCCTTCCCTACAGTAGCCCCAAATTATAGAAGTACCTCAAGGAGCCCTTCTCTTACCCCAGGGGTACTGGTAAGTACAGGGATGTGGCCACCATCACCACGCTAGGCCTAGACCCAGCATAGACCCTGGTGTTTCTGAGATGATTTGGAGCCCTGTCCCTTGTGGTTCCTGCCGTTCTTGCTTGTCTGGAGAGAAGATAGGCTGCCTTGCCCCAGTTGGCTATTGCTGAGGCCAGGTTTCAGAAGCAAGCCTTCCCCCTCTCTACATCACAGTCTGTTTGTCCTTCTGAGATTCTAGACTTGGCCTTATCTAGTCTCTGGTCTCTTCTCAGAAATGAGAAGGTAGGAGCCCCAAAAGTGCTGGTAGCTCCTAAGACTGTGATTAGATAGTGGCAGAGCCAGATCTAGAATCCCAGCCTCTGGACCTCTTTTTCTTTCCACACTTGCTTTTCTTTTAAGATTTACTTCTACTACTACTGCTACTTCTTCTTCTTCTTCTTCTACTACTACTACTACTACTACTACTACTACTACTACTACTACTACTATTATTATTATTATGATGATGATGATGATGATGATGTATGAGTGTTTTGCCTGCATGTGTGTTGTGTGTGAGTGTGCCACATGTGTGCCTGCTAGGAAGCCAGAAGGGTGTTGGATTCCCTTGAAGTAGACTTATAGAGAGTTGTTAGATATTATGTGGGTACCACTTCTTCTGCAAGTGCAGCCAGTGCTCTTCACCACTGAGTCATATCTCCAGCCCCATCTTTCCACACTTTCTATTGCTAAATGACCATTCCAGCATGCAGGCTCTGATGGAGGATCCTGGACAGCTCTATGTGGCCTTATCCAAAGCTGGGATGTCTGACGTCCTTCCTGTGTAAAGGTGATCTGATTTGTTAGCCTCTCACCCCTGAGGTGACCCACCATAGGAACGTTGCTGACACAGCTCCCTAGTTTTCTCCTTTAGGCTTGTATCTGCCTCAGTAGCTTTAACTGGCTCCCAGTTGTTGCCTAGCTGTGCACTTGCCAAATCCACTCTGGATGAGCAGTTTTAGAGCTGAGACTAAGCCCTGGAAATAGGGTCAGTAATGGGACAATGACGTCCTCCATTTTCTGAGGCCTTTGGTCAGTCCTACCTCTTTGTAAGTGTGGAGAATTCATCATGCACTGAGCTCATTGTGGCCATGGAAGGGTCACTGTCCAGCCTAATTGTGACACAGCTCATGCTTCTCCTAGTCTGCTGTATGGTGTAGCCTCACCTAGCTGTTTCACTTTTCATTTGGGGCAACACCTGCCTTGCTCAGTGTCTGGCCACTAGATTGGTATCTCCAGACCTTGGTATCTAAGGTCCTGAGAGCCAGGGTCTTAACAGGTACTGATTCTCCTCTTTTCTCCCCAGGTGGCTAGAGATGCTCATGGTGTATCCCAGAACCAACAAGCAGAACCAGAAGAAGAAACGGAAAGTAGAACCACCCACCCCACAGGTAGGCTGGATGGCATGTCCCCTAGTGGGGATGAGCTTCAGAAGTAGTGAGGGCAAAATGATGATGAGATCAAGTCAAGGCTGAGGTGATCATGCCTTGTCATGCCTCCTCCCTTCTGTCTGCACTCTGGGAGCCATACCAGAGTGACCTGCTGGAATGCCCTGAGCTATCTTCAAGAGAGTTCTGGCTAGCAGGCAAATGCCCCTCAGGGGGCACCTAAGCCAGCTTTCCCTGGAGAGTAGTGCCCCAGGCTAAAGGTCATTAAAGCATACAGTCTGAGAGCTTCTGGGAGACTGAGAGTGGAGCATTGTGCTAGGGAACAGCAGTTAATGTGCAAATATCCCAAGCTGCCTAGTTTGAGAGAAAAAGTCCTAGCTGAATAATACATTTAGGGTTATGCCTTGTTTCTGAATAATACATTTAGGGTTATGCCTTGTTTCCATGGTGATGCGTTGGAAACAGTGCAGCACAGAACTTCTGTCTCCAAATAAGGTAACTCCTTGTATAGGAGACAGCCTGCTCCAGGCTTGAAATTTGGCTGTTTCTTCCCCTATGACCTCGTCCCTTCCAAATAATGCTGCCTTGCGGACAGAGAGGTCACCCCTTACCCAAGAGCGTGTCTCAGAGCCAGGGTACAGTCTCCTCTACCATATACTGTGTATGCCCTCCCCCTCAATCCCAGTTGACCTCTGGTGGGTCTCCTTTCTGTCCCCTTGATCTCCAGAGCATCCATTTGAGGCTTCTGCTTCCAAACTTCTGAACTTTCATCAGAGGCTATCTCCTACAACATGGGGCCTCTGCAGGAAAAAGACAAGAGCTACCTTTAGATTGAAGTCTCTGGGTAACCCTCCCTCTACAGTCAGCTGCCAGAGGCATTTGTGTGACCTCTATGGAACTGTGAGTGAGACTGAAGCTCTGTCTCCATCTCTCCTATTACCCTGTGCAGGTCAGGGAGAATTTTGAACTGGAAGCCCTGGGCTTCCAGCTAAACTCAGTATGGCCCTGTAGAAACTCAGGTAGAAGAGCTGATGGCCTCAACCATAGCCCCTTGAGGAGGGGGCCAACAGTAGGGGGCAAGTGCAAGTCCTCTGAGATTTGGCCAGGGTAGGAATCCCTGAAGCTTATAACCCCATAGGTCTGTTGCCCAGTTGAGACTAGGAAAGTATATCTTCCTTCTGTCAGCCCCCAGGCTCTGGACCCTTGGCAGAGACCTGGATGATTCTGGCCTCAGAGTTAAAGCCCTGCCCTGGCCATGGATGTGTTGAGTGATACGTGTCCTTTCCCAGGATTTTTGTTGCTATTAGGGTATCTGCTGTCTTCTGTTCCAAGGCTGGACCCTTCCCACTGGGGCCTTACTCCATTTTCATGCCAGAGAAGTAGAGAATGGTACCCCTCAAGAGGAAGCTTACTTCCTTTTCCTTAGTTCTGGAAGCCCTCCTGAATGGCTGTGATAGCAGCTAAGAGTCAGTACAGCGTTACCACCATGAGCACAACAGCTGCACTGGCTGTCCAGGACATCTGGGCACCTGCACCCTTCTGACCCAGGCTGGTTCTATGCAGTGTGAGCACCCACGCCCCTTCATGGCTGTATCTACTAACTAGATGTCTCACACACCTGATCAGAAGAAAAGGATCTTTGCCCAAGGATGACACTTAACCTATCTCCCATAAGACAGAATGGCTTTGTTCCTGCTGTTCCAAACAAGAGAAAACGAGCTCTTTTTAGGTCAGGAGTGTGGATCAGACCCTAGTTCTCTGGGGATCTGGACAGGAGAGTTCTGGATAAAGTCAGCCTTTTCCAGGTTAGATACCTGGGATCAGGAGGAGGTGAGAGGCAGCAGTAGCTTGGTGTTGAGAGATACATTCCTAAAGCTCCCAGTCCTGTCCTGGGTCTCTTCCCTTCTGCAGGATTCCATGGTCAGGGCCATACACATACAGGGACAGCCTCCTGCCCTTCTGCTGAGAGGATGTGTTTACCAATGACAGCTTTTTTTTGTTTTTGTTTTTTATTATTTTTTTTATTTTACGTGTATGTGTGTATTGCCTGCATGTAGGTAAGTGCACCCGTGTCATACAATGCCCACAGAGGTCAGAAGAGGCTGTCAGATCCCCTGGGACTGGAGTTACATACAGCTGTTAGCTGCCGTGTGGGTGCTGGGATTCAAACCCTGGTCTTCTGCAAGAACAGCCATTGTTCTTAACCACTGAGCCATCTCTCCAGCCCACCAATGACAGTTTTTAATTGACCCTCACTTCAGGTCTACACTGACTCCACCTGACTGTCCAGTCTCTGACTACCTGGACTTGGAATGGCAGGCCTGGAGTGTGAAGAAGGGGGGCGGGGGGCAGGCAACAGAGGGACCTGGGATGATTTCTGCTTGGGGACAGCCAAGGTAGCTCTGTATCCTGTAGTAACTTATGGTAGACATGCAGGCTAGAGTGATAAGCTGGCTAGAGGGCCCTGGAACTGCATTTTCATAGATCGTTGAAGCCTTCAAGAAATTCTAAGAGCATGGACTGCTCTTGCAGAGAACCCAGATTCAATCCCAAGCACCCACATGGTGGCTAACAACTGTCTGTAACTCCAGTTCCAGGAGATCCGACACCCTCTTCTGACCTCTGCAAGCACTGCACGACATGGGTGCACCTACATACATACAGGCAATACACTCGTACACATAAAATAAAAATAATAAATGAAAAAAGAAAAAGAAAAAAAATTCTAGGGTAAGGCTAATACCCTTAGAAGAAACTTTAGTCTTCTGAGGAGTGTCTCTAGCTGGGGAGTTGGTTACCTAGTGGCTTTGAGCCAAATGAGGGTGCCAGGTATGTGTGTTCTGGACCTATGGGAAGATCCTTCCTGGCTTAATCACATTGTATGAGCCTGGAGTCCTTGAAAATCAACGATAGTACTGAACCAGGGGCCCCAACCAAGGCAGTGTCCTGCCCTTCCTCATGCTTGCCCCTTTCAGGGCATATAAGCAGAAGGGGAGCTGCCTCTACTACCAGCTGTTGAACTCATAGCCTCCTCTGCAAGGTAGGTTTGTGATTGAGACTGGAGGTATAGAGCCATTTTGGGTTATTGATGGTCTTAGTGTTTCAGCATTCTATTCACAAATACATATTCCTGTATACAAATAGCCTGGATACATTAAGCCAGAGGTCCAATAAGAGGGGTTTCAAAAGATGAGAGCAAGGCTAGACGTGGTGGCACACACTTTTAATCCCAGCACTCAGAAGACAGAGCCTGGTGGACCTCTGTGGTTGAGGCTAGACTGGTTTACATAGCAAGCTCCAGGCCAGTTGGCGCTACAGGGAAGACCCTATCTCAAAAAAAGAGGAGGGCCCAGATGGGAGTGGGAGATGGGTATCTGTATGTCACCCCCAGTCTTTGGCAAGAAAGTGAGGGACTTAAGCCATCCTCCTGGCAACAGGATGTTTGACCATAGGGCATGAGTGGGCAGTATAGTACAGCCCTCCTGTCCAGTATAGTATCCCCTCCTGTCCTCATCTTAGCGTCTGAAGAGTTCAGCTAGGTGTGCCCAGAAACTGGATATCTGCCTTCCTAAGTAACTGTCCCACAAACACTTTCTCCCCTGGGTAGTTCCACTTCTGTGCCCTGGGAAAACTGGAAATTGACCTGGGCCCACAAACAAGGATCAGGCTGTGCATAAGAACAGTGAGTGTGTGTGTGGCATGTGTAGGTGTCCAGATTTGAATGGGATTTTGTGTGGCTTATATTATTCCTGATACTGTTAACAATATGTCACACACAAACTGAGGGCCTTAAACCACAGACATTTTTTTCTCAGAATTCTGGGGACTGGGAAGTCCATGGTCAAGGTGCCAGCAGATGTGTCTGGTGAGGGCCTGCTTCCTGGTTCTTACATGGTAGAAGGGGCAAGGTAGTTTTCTTGGGCCCTTTTTATAGGATACTAATCCCATTTGGGAGGGCTGCACTCTTATGACCTAACCATATCCTAAAGGCCCCACCTCCATAAGCCATCATCACAAAGGGCTAGACTTTCTAACATGAATAGAGAACAAACATTAAGGTCTTCGCATTTGTCTTATTTTAGTAGCTCTTTTACATAGTGTCTGGTGTTTAGGTAAGGCCACAAGGCTGGCCAGGCATGGATGCTATGGAACTCACTGCATTCACTTCAGGGATCTAGATAGTAGTGTACCTGGCTCAGATAAATGTTCTCTTCCTTTGCCCTACTCCATCTCCCTTTTTTTGTGTCTTAAATGCTGGAGAGTATAGGTGCAACAGACTCTGAGCCAACTCCTATGGGCTCACCCTTGATGCCCAGGCTGTTATTTTGGGTGCTATGTACAAGGAAAGCTTGTACACGCTCGGTATGTTCTTACAGAAATCTGGGACCTTCCCTCTGCAAGGTGCCGGCACTATGGAGCCACAGAGAGCAGTCAGGAAAGATGGCCTCATTTTCAAACATTACATTCTGGGGCTTCCCAGCCCTCGATACTGTTGCTGACCTGGTTTTTCTTGCAGCTTAGTAGGCAAGACCTGTAAACTGACTTGGGCTATGTGTTCATACATTACCACCCCTACTGCTGTCTTTCCAGGAGCCTGGGCCTGCTAAGGTGGCTGTCACTAGCAGCAGCAGCAGCAGCAGCAGCAGCAGCATTCCCAGTGCAGAGAAAGTCCCCACCACCAAGTCCACACTCTGGCAGGAAGAAATGAGAGCCAAGGACCAGCCTGATGGGAACAGCTTGAGTCCAGCTCAGAGTCCCAGCCAAAGCCAGCCTTCTGCTACTAGCTCCCCACGGGAAACAGGGCTAGAAAGCAAAGAAGGTAAGCATCAGCTGATCAGCTAGCAGACCTGCCTGTCCTAGTGATCTGTCTTATACTGCTGGAGTGGGTCTTCATCCCAGTGGCCAGGAGCTGACACTGGGTACATGCAGGACCCTTAGAGTCCAGTCACAAGCCCTGGACTTTCCTCCTTCTAAGCCTCAGTTCTGCGCTGCACTGGCCTGTCATGACTGGGGTTCCTGGGCTATGAACTTTGACCTGGCTCTGTGACTCTTAAGCCCTATTTGTATAGGAAAAAGGTGTGGCACCTGCTCTGTGAGGATGTTCCCGTATTATCATGTTCTTAGTTGCATTATCCCTTAAATACCCAGTAGATTTTTGTATGCTTGTGATGGAACACATGCATTTTAAATGCCAAAAGTATGTGTCCTGAAGAATTCAGACTGAGGGAGGCAGAGATAGAAACTCTGCCTCTACTGGGATGTCACGGCATGTTAAATGGAGAGGGCACAATGAAGTTAATGGCTTCCTTCCTGGTCCTTCTTCCCTCCCTCTAGCCAGTAACAGAACAGGATGAGAGGGGCAGTATTGCCTTAACTGCTGCCTTTGTAAGGACAGGCGGCAACACACCCCTCCCTGTCTTAAATGTACTAAGATCCTGAAAGGCATCTTGTTGGTTTCTTCCTGGGGTCTTCAAACCATTGGTTGGGAAGGAATCCTGCTTCCCAACCAAACCCCAGACTGTATGCAAAGGGTCTGCTTGTTAGTCTAGCTACGGATAACCAGACTGGAGGAGAGCATAGAGTATGAAGGCAGTTCAGGTGGATGGTCCATTTCCACCTATGATTCTCTCCTTCTACAGCTACCCCAGTCCATCCCTGTGGAGGGTGAAGAGAGAGGGTGTTGAGGCAGCCCCTGGTTGATCTTGTGTGGGCTTTTAGAAAGCTCTTATGGCAGAGCTGACAGCATTTTGAGCAAGCTGCTTCTTCTCTTCTAGAGGACAGCACCATGAATGGGGACCGTGTGGACAGTGGTCGGAAAGTACGGGTAGAGAGCGGCTACTTCTCCCTGGAGAAGGCTAAACAGGACCTGAGGGCTGAGGAGCAGCTCCCCCCACCACTCTCCCCACCCAGCCCCAGCACCCCCCACAGCAGGTACAGTTGCCCTGAGTCACCTTCTCAGGAGCTCGGCCGCCCCCTTCACTCCCCAGGTCCTCGAGCCCCAAGCCGCATGGTCTGCAGCATCTCTCTCGACAGCCTGAGTGAGGCTAGCTGGCCTCCCAACCACATGGACTCCAGCAGTGCTGGGGGGCGGGGGACAGAGGTACTGGGGAGCACCTTTGCCTTTAAAGCCAGCAGGCAGTATGCCGCCCTGGCCGACGTCCCTAAGGCCATCCGGATCAGCCACCGAGAAGCTTTCCAGATGGAAAGAAGGCGGTTGGAGCATAGAACTCGGGCCCGGAGCCCTGGCAGGGAAGAGGTGGCCCGTCTGTTTGGCAACGAGCGGAGGTAAGGAAGAGACTAGCAGGCTATGCACAAATAACACTCTTACACACTCCCTTGGGAAACGTGCTTTCTGTTCAGTGTATGGGACATTTTCTGGGCCCTGGATTGTGACCCTGGTACTCAGCTCCTGGCAGTCAAATGTAAGGCTCTGAGTGCCCATAGGCTGGCTGCTGGGGATTGGTGCTTCCCAGACCAGACCCTGAAAGGCTGGATCTTACCCTTCTTGTCCCATTTTTGTCCTCTGAGGTAACACTGGAGGAAGGACAGTCCTCAAAGCTACAGATAGAAACCAACTTCTCCTCACCCTGGCAATTCTAGGGTGGGTACTAAAAAGGTACCAAGGCAGATAGCTTTGCCTAAGAAAGTAGGGGCAGCATAAGGCAGAACTCCTGCGGGTTTATGAAGTAGTCTTATAAAGCTCTCAAGTGCCCCTTTTCTTCTGGGCTTTGCTGAAATAGAAAGCATAGTGGAGCCCTGGCTTCCCGCCAGTGGCAGAGATGTGGCACTCAACTGCTGAGAAGATAAGGCGCCTGCCTGCCTGCTTTTCTCTTGCCCTGCTGTCCTGCACTTCTTGAGGAATACAGAGCATTCCACTTGAGTGCCCCCCGCAGAAGTGCTCTACCACATATGTGAGCTAGGCTTTACTTCCATACCAGGTTCCTTGGTTGGTACTATACAGACTTCTAGAGACCCATGGCTGCCCCCAGGACAGTTTAAAAGTACATCTGCCCATATTTCTGTGGAGAAAACCCAATTTTCATTAGGTTTACAAAGAAATTCTCTGTCCAGAAAGGCAACTCCAGAAATATCTGAGTGTTTTCCCTGTCCTTGGTGCAGCCTGAAGTTCAGATGTTAGGGGCAAGGGGAGATGACATGCTCCTGTCTCACTAAGGGTAAGTTGGAGGAAAACTTTCTATGTCTTACCACCTTTTCTTAACCCACAATTAGCTGACAGTCAACCCAACCTGTTCAAATGTCCCAAATAACAGGGCCAGTGGACCCTCCATTGGCCTCTAGGACCAGGGAAAGCTGCTGGAGAAGAGAGGAAATAACTTGCCCACTTCCTAAAGACAGAGGACACCAAGTGCTATGCCTTCCCCCCGCCCCCACAAACCCATACTCTTGGCTGCCCTCACAGTGCATTGGTGGCTCAACAAAGCACTTGTTACTCTTCACTTTTGGTTCATGGAAAATTCGAGGCTCCAAAATTTGGGTGATTTCCCACCCTCCTGTGGTCAATAGGTAGTGGGCCTTTAGGAGGAAGTGTGATCACAACATACAATGCAGGACCAGGACCCACAACATTATTTTTAAGCATTCAGACAAACACAGAAGTACAGGGTCTTACTAGCAATTAAGGAGGCTTTCGGGGTGGGCAGGGGAGGCTTGCACTGGCTGGTGGGCAGGCTATGTCTTGGTAGCTACAGGATTGGATCAACCTAGGCTAGTACCAGGTTACAGAGTTAAGTTTTGCTCACCTACTTGGCTAGGCTGCTTCTCAGAGAAGTTAATTTTGAACACATTCTTGTCCACCTGCCTGAGGTAGATGCAGTCTCTAGGCTTTGCTTTTGCATGATCTTTGCCACTCGTGGGGATGGGTGTTGCTGATGTTGGTACCCTAGGACACTAATCTTCTAACTTCTGCACACTGACCTTCTAACTGTACCTTTTTAATGATCTTATGATCTTACTGGTTGCTGTCACTGTGAGGCCTGCTCTCTGGTTCCCAAGTTGTCCACTTGGTGCTGGCCCCTAGTAGGTTAGCATGACAAGCCGTCAACTACTGTGCATTGGGTGGTGGCCAAGACAGACCTGCCCTGCCCTGCCAAAGCAGCTGCACTACAGGTTCAATTCTGGAAAATGTTGGTGAGCGAGTAAGCAGCACTGCCTAAGCACCAGCAGCTTTGGACATGGATTCTACTCTTCAGATTTTAGTGCCTTTGCAGGGCTTAGATTGTGAGTCACCTCTGGCTGCTGAGTGTGGAGAAACTGTGGTCCTTGTGGCACCTCTAGTGACTAACAGAAGACTAGCACCCCCCACCTCCTCATGTGGGGTCTACATCTGTTTTTAGCTATGGGCCTAAGTGAGGCACTGGCTATCACACCTATGATACTTCAAAGGCACTACCTTAGTAACAGAACCAGCTGTGCAGAGGTTGTCTAAGCCCCTGGCCTCACAGCATCTCCTGGCATCCATTTTGAGCAGCAAATGGCAAGTGCCTCCCATTTTCCATGCTGACCACTCTGCCTGGAACCCTACAAGCCCACAGCATATGTACTGGTCTAACTTGGCACGGTCCTTCTTCTGTCCTAGAGCCTTGAAGGCCCCTAGCCAGACACAGCGTTCTTAACTGAAAGGCAGCAGAAGCTTCAAGGCCTATGAGTGGCCATATCTGCCTGTAGTAGTCTGACTGTGCAAGATACCTTGGCTGCACTTAAAAAGCTCTCCTCTGTGCCTGGCAGCGAACAGCTGCTTAGCTTCCTGCTCTCAAAGTCAGCCTCCTCACCTGTCTCCTCAGCACATCAGCCTCTGTGGGCACAGCAGGCTAACCTGGCACCAGTTCTCTTCTAACAGTGCTAAGTGTGGAAGCAGAGCATGCCAGAGCCCTCCTGAGCCCTGACTGCCCTCAGCCTCTGTCTCCCCTGAGGAAGGGACTTCTCAAGATAGATTTACAGTGATCCCTGAGAAGAGAGGTTTCTGGAACCCAAGCCATACCCTTCCTCACTTTTAGAGGTTTTAGTCTCCTGGGCAGGACCTTCATCACTTTCCCTCAGCTCCTCACCCCTTATCCAGAATGTATACTCTGAGGGAAGTAAGTAACCTTAGGAGAGTAGGTGTCAGGTCTGCCCTTCCAGTGGTTTAAGTCAGCTTCCAGGGCCATGGTGGGCAGCACCAATCTTCCTGCTAAACCCCACCACAATGACTCCTCAGACTGTGGGATGATCATGGGTTTTCTCCCTCTTCAGCCATTATCTTGGGATTTTGCTGCCTTAATTCTTTGAGTAACTTTGATTTATCATGATTTGATTTTTAAAAGCAGTCCTTTTCTGTTCATTCATTTCCCAGCCTTGTTTTCTTTCAGGTCTTACCCTCTCCGCCCTCTGCTGTGTCGCTGTGGCGTTCGCGCCTCCTCCACCCGCTTCGCTCCCATCTCAGCTCCGTCTCAGTGGCAGACCACCTGATGAGGCCGCCGGCTTTTACATGAAATCAGCTGCTTTGTTTTTGTTTTGATTTGGATTTTGATTCCTTTTAAAGATTAGCAGAAACTGTTAATTCACGGGCCTCTTTCTTGCTAAATTATGGACACCCTGGGGGGCTACATTGTGACTGGAAAGTATTGTGTATACCAAGGTGGTGGTTACCCTTTATTATGTCTGACTCAGGGAGGTTGCCAGGTACCAAATGTGAATCCGGTGTGGGGGCAGAGCCAGTGCAAGTCTGATGTGGAAGGGCCCTGTTGGTGTTCCAGCCCACCATGAAGGGGACACAGGTGGAGCTCACATGGGCTGAGCCTGTGCCCCAGACCCCCATCAGTGCTGTGTGAGAGGTGCCTAACACACTTAACAGAGAAGCTGGGGTGAGGTTAGGCTAGGTGTGCTGATTGACTACAAGAGCCCCTTCTGGACCTGAGACCCATCCAGTCTTGGGAACAGGGAGAAGCTCTGGCTCAGCAGCTTTGTGTCCTCTCTTGTAGGCGGTCCCAAGTAATTGAGAAATTTGAGGCCTTGGACATTGAGAAGGCAGAGCACATGGAAACCAGCGTGCTGACCATGGCCACCCCATCCAGTGACACTCGTCAGGGCCGCAGTGAGAAGCGGGCCATCCCCAGAAAACGGGTGAGCTCCAGTGTGGGGCCAAATGGGGCCTTTTGAGGTCTGGCTTGGGTCTGGGCAGCACACTGCTCCACATGCTCTGAATTCCCCCATACCGAAGACATGCTTCTGAGCCTCCACACTTCACTCTCTTCCTCCTTTTAGCCTTTTGAGTACCAGCCTGTCTTCTGCATCTCCTTTTAGAACATCAGCCTTCAGTGCCACAGGATGCTTGAATGAGCTTTAGATCCCAGTCATAACTAGCATAGTATCTTCCCACTGAGGCTATTCAGCAACAAGGCTGAACATGACACCTTCTATCCTTCCTTTATCTTTGGAGTAGCAGCTGTATCCTCATTTCTCTGCTTGGTCCACAAGATCCACCAGCTTCAGCAGTCGTCCTCCTCCAAGACTCCTCCAGCTGCTTGCCCACCTACCTCTTCTGTAGCCTGCTGTGCCTGAGTCCTTCTTTCTAGCTTCTTTGTGCTCATGAGGTGCCTGCTGCCCAGCCTGGCTCTTCTTTCCCTTAACCGGGAATCTGCAGAATGGGATGGGGCCAGGACAGTGATTGTGACCAGGCATCCAAAGAAAAGGCTGCTCCACTGACCATGGGATGCCAAAACATGGGTCATCTCAGACCTGCTGTGGAGTCTAGACAGAACATTCTTCCTTGCTGGGGGCAAGGCCACTCCCACTCAGTGAGGGGTGGACAACCTAGTTTGCTGCCCCTACTCCTGCCCAAGTTGTCCTGGGCTATACTGATGGGCGGCTGCTCTTTGCCACAGGACATTACCAGTGAAGCCCCCACAGCTCCTTTCTCAGATGCCCGTCCCCTGTCTCCACATCGAAGAGCCAAGTCACTGGACAGGAGGTCCACGGAGTCCTCCATGACGGTGAGCCCAGGCCATGTGCCAAGTTCTTTGGAGATCTGTGGCACCACCACAGCTGCTTCTGGCCACTCTGGGCCACTGTCCATTTGTGTCCATATGTCCACACCAGCCCTCCCCTCTGTACTGCCCTAATGCCTATGAATGCCCATCCACTGGTCTACAGTTTATCTGAAACCAACCATTCTTCCCTTCTTGGGCCCAACAGAACTAGGGGCTATGAGGCACGCTAAGCAGCATGTGAATGTCCCTGCACAGGAGGCTGCTACAGCTACAGCTGATGTAAGGTCCCATTGTCACCTCTACTGCCCTCCTTTTGGTGTTTGTTTGTGGCACTTGGAACAGGAACCACGTTGCACTGGCAGTTTGTCTTGTTTGCTACGGGTTATGCACAGGAATGGAGCTACAGTCAAGGCACGGGTAGACTAGCAACCCCAGCGACCTCTGCATGTAGCCCTTGCTCCTCAACACTCTCTACAGCCTCCCAGGAGACATGGCACGGATCACCAGTTCTCATCCCCAAGTCAGAGCAATTTCTCTATCAACTCAGCTGGTAGCCACTATACCTGGCAGCCACCAGAGGCCCAGAAAAAAAAGACCCACAGGGACCAACATCCACTGTTCCCTGGGGCAGGTACAGCAGCAATGACAATCACTGCAAAATGTTTAAAAATCTGTTATAGATCCACAGCTCATCAAGTCAGCCAGAAGGGCAGTGAGCAGTCCTGCATCCAAGGTCTCATGTAGCAGCAGCAACAACCGTGCACACCAAAAAGGGATTTTCTTCTTTATGAGTCTCTGGGCTGGGGCACCCTAAAATGTGTCACCATTACTTTCTGTCAGTACTTCAAACAACTTGTCAAAGGGGCAGTCTGGTGGAGCAGGAGTTACAGCAAAGCTCCACAGAGGAGTCTTGTCTACTGTGGCAGGAGTCCACTGTGGCCTCTCCACAATGGAACAGGAGCTCCAGGGGTGCCTGTCCTGGTTGTTGTCTTGTCAATTGTTACCTCTTCTCCTGACTCACTACGTGTCCTTGGAGTAATAAGAGATATTAATGCCAGTTTCTGGTCAGGACAGCTATGGAAGACTTGAGAGCTCTGGGGGGTCCAGAGAAGAAGCACCTGAGGTCTGTGGAGCCTGACCTCCCAGGTGCACTATATGGAAGCTGAGGTCCTCAGCTGGCCAGGATGCAGGCTGCTCCTCGATGGAGATAACACCGTACTAGAGCCTGCTGGTGGGCAGGCCCTCCCCTGCCTTCCTGTGTGAGGAATGGAGACTGAACTTCTTGGTAGAAGAGTTACCTGAGAGTCTAGGCAGGGTTCTGCTACTGTTTCTTCCATCCCAGACATGGTCTGCCTCCTAGGCTTCTGGTCTTCAGTCCTCCTGCAACTTCAGCAAGAGCCTTTGGATTCTCCTTTCAGCTGTTGCTGCAGGTGTCCCCTATTTTCCTGTGCCCAGGGATGCACAGGAAGGACCTGTACTATGCCCTAAGGCAGGATGTATACAAGTCCTGAACAAGTGGGAGGAGAGATCTCAGGACAGCCAGGTGGCCAATGCTCCTGAGCCCAGGTCAAATGAGGCTGTGCTGTATCTCTTGTCTGTCGTTTCCTTCCCTAGGAATACATGCCTGTGTGGCAGCAACACTGGGACAAGGGGGTGGGCATACTTGTCTGGCTGTGAGAAAAAAATCTCTCTGGTACTGTTTCATCTAGATGAAAAGAGCCCTATTGGACATGCTTTATCTATCACTGGAGACCCTGCGATGGTTTCCCCTGAGCAGTTCTTTTTTCTTTCTTAGCCCGACCTGCTGAATTTCAAGAAAGGCTGGCTGACCAAACAGTATGAGGATGGCCAGGTGAGTGTGCTTAGCGGCTGTGACCTAGACAGCTGGGGAGCAGAAGCAAGTCCTAGCTTGTCTTTTCCCTGACAGAATCTGTGAGCCTTGATTCATGTCCTTGTCTTCTACACATCCTTGTCTTGTGGACCAGGACTGTGGCAGGACCCCCATCTGCTCACAGATTGCAGGTGTACTCCCTTCATTGCCATGGCAGGGAGCACCTCTTGACCTCTGGCCTGAGGACCTTCTACAACATCCTACAGTCCTAGCCTCCGGGTGTGATCTCTCTTAAAGTTTCTCTAGGAATCTAGGCTTCCCCAGCAGTAGGAACAAGCCTATGGGGGTGGGGCTGGTTTGTGTTTCCATAAGGCAGCCATATAGGCAGTCATTTAGAGCTGTAAATCCTTGTGTTAGAGAAACCAGTTCAGCTTTGGGGGCACTATTAGGCCCTGAGAGTTTTGCATATTACCAAATCCAAACAGGAAGAGGCATTTGCAGCTGACCTGTAAGCCCCACCTTGGTCTGAGACTTGTAGACCTCCTGAGAAAACATAAGAAGGAGCTTGATTAGGTCCTTCCTTACCCCGAGGCCCTTAAAGCATGCATTTATCATCCTGTCTGCTTTTTGCCTTTCAAGTCTATGTAAAACATCTTCTCTCTCCTTCCACCATATCAAATACCCTTGGCCTTGCCTAAAGACTCAAGTTCCCTTCTTTGCTACTCTAGTGGGTTGGTTTATACCTGCTGGTACAGTGGGACTCACTCATCAAATGAATCAGGTTGTGGCTCTCAGCACCATTTTCACTGCCACCTCCATGTGATGGATCCAGCCACTGTCTGTAGCCTCTGAAGTTAGAATGGAGGCCTGCAAAGCACTAGTCACCAACCGCAGGCTGGGGCACAGAGCTAGCCATGGCCTACCATTCTCTACTGCCTCTTTGCAGGAGTGCATCTTACCATGGCCTCCCTGAAGTTATAAAGGCATAGCTAGCTGCTTTACCTACATTCTCCAGGTGCCTGAACTCAGCTGGGGTCTCCCTGGTACATTGGGTGTGCTGCCTGGTAGTTGAATGTTTCTTTCTCCCTCTTAGTGGAAGAAGCACTGGTTTGTCCTGGCTGATCAGAGCCTGAGATACTACAGGGACTCCATGGCTGAGGAGGTGAGAATTCTCTGGGACAAGGTAGCTGAAGTCTCCTGTCTGTGGAAGGGTGGCTCTTTGCCTTCTTGGATGTTGCAGGCTCAGTCTGATGGGGCAGTGAGTGCAACCAGACCAGTTTTGATGGCAAGACTATTTCCCACCTGTGATATTATGGTCTGTTGAATTCTTAAATTAGGTACCTGAGTGTAGTAAGTTTTAGTAACTTTGTCTGTTCTTCAAAGAACAATGAAGTTTGAACACTTAGGTGAGGCAATCTGGGTTTGTTTGGTTTTGATTTTCAACAAAAGGATTATGTGGTAAATTGAGTCACTGCATGAATTAACTTACATCTTGTTCTGCCTTGTGGCAGTGGAGGAACAATCTTTTTTAATTACAGTTTAAAATTTTAATTACAGTTTAAAATTTTTTTATTTAGAAGAGGGGGTTATGTGCCATGGGGTACTTACAGAGGATACCCTGTGGAAATTGGTTTTCTCTTTCTACTATGTTGATCCTGATTGACTTGCCAGCAGGCACCTTTACCTGCTGACTGATTTTGTCAGGCCCCCTAGACAGTCTTGATTCCATTAGAGAAAACCAACCAGAAGAGGCTCAACACCTACCAAAATCTGTGTGTGCTTTTTCCTTGATAACTCCATCTCAGACCCTTCAGAATCATCCATCTACAAGAGTCTCAAGTTTGCCATTCCATGCCTACATAATAGAAGATGGAAAAGAACTTAGTGGGATTGGTTTGTAGATTTAAATTTTTGGCATCAGACTCCTTGGCCTGAAGGGGAAGTTGTTGGTTAGAGAAAGCAAGGTCAAAGTAGTATAGGTAGCCAATTCTGAGTAAAGTTGCACCTACTAAAGTATTTAACTTTATATAATTAGCTTATTTCTTCTTTTTGATGTTTTGATCAAAAGGCCTTGACCTTTAACAGATACACCATCTTTCCAGCCTATATATATATATATATATATATATATATTGTGTGTGTGTGTGTGTGTGCACCACAGCATGCATACAGAGGTCAACTTGTAGGAGTCCGTTCTCTCCTTCTACCATGTGGGTTTTATGAATCAGACTCAGATCATTAGGCTTGGCAGTAAGCCACCTTTACCCACTAAGCTATCTTACCAGCCCCCTAGTGAAGTATTGTGGAATGTGCCCACAACAGTTCTGAGTATAACTTACAAACCCTTGAATCCCTTCCAGGAAAGCTGTAAGGGTCAAAACTGTGCTTATAATAGAACTTCACTCTGTTAAAATAACGTTGATGGCACAACAGCAGTAATAGACGAAACCCAGTGCTCTGGAAACGGGCCACAGCCAGAGTGTACCAGCAATCATTGAGTGGGCTTTTTCTTTCCCATAGTCATAGTGTTTAAAGCAACAACAAAATAGTTTCTTGATGAGGAAGTAAAAGTTACTGATTTTATTTGGTCTCAACATTTCAGTTCCCATCTCTTTAGTGTCTTTTTGTAATTTTTTATTATCATTTGTGCTTGCATGATGTGTATGTGTGGGCATGTGCATGTCATAGCACACATGTAGAGGAGGTCAGAGGACAACTTTAAGGAGTTAATTCTTTCCTTTGACCTTTACATGGGTTGTGGGGGTGGAACTCAGGTCACCAGGCTTGTATGGCAAGTGTCTTAACCAAGACATCTTGCCAACCCATTTTTAGTGTTCTTCAGGTGGGAAATGTCTGTCAGTCACTCAGCTGCATGCCTGAGCCTTCAGGCTGTCTTGTTGTAGCACACCCATACATTTAGCTGAGTTTCCAGCTGAACTAGCTGCTTTTTGGTGAAACATCCTTAGAAAAAGCAGCTAACAGACAAGCTGTGGTCATTCAGTTTAGGGGGTTGGCAGGCATTTTCATGAAAATGAACCAAGAAACCATTTCTTTAAGGAAAACAATGGACAGAGTTTGTTGCCAATGATGATGCAGTTTGGGCTTTCAAGAAAAACCTGGTATGGGCACAGTGGCATGTACCTGAAGTCTGCTAACTCAAGAGGCTGAGGCACGAGGGTCATGTGGATCCAGGAAGTTGAGACTGCCCTGGGAAATACAGGGAAAGCCTATCTCAAAAAATCAGAAATTGAACCTGGTGTGATGGTGCATGCCTTTAATCCCAGCACTTAGGAAGCAAAGGCAGGAGGATCTCTGTGAGTTCGAGGCCAGACTGGTCTATATAGTGAGTTTCAGGCCAGCTGGGGTACAAGGGAGACCCTGTCTCAAAAAGACCCCCCCCATTAGAAATTGAAAATTTTCTATTCATAATCTTGAGAGCTTCCCTTTACCTAATAGTAAATCTATGATCCAATATTTTGCTTCTGTAGAATAAATTGTGTTGCCATATGAGGGCTGTACATAGCTTAATATTTTCTTAAAGATTTTTTATGTATATGTTATGTGCCTATGTAAGATTATGTGTACCACAAGCATGCAATAGAACTGAACTTCTTCCTTTTGCAACTTTTGAGACCACTTTGTCTTCATACGTGTCAGCCAAAACAGTACATAGAGAACTCAATGCAGAAACAGAGAGTCCAGCTCCATCTCCAAAACAGGCATGTAAGAGACCTACAGAAATTCACAACACTGCCACTCTAACCAGTGACTGTTCATCATATTTTGATTTTTAATCATTTTTAATTTTAGCATATGTAGCTCAGGCTGGTTTCAAACTTCAAAATAAATGCACTCCTCTTCCTGCCAAGCTGGGATCTCAGGTGCAGACTACCACACCCAGCTTTTATTAATGTTTTCCTTAAGTGGATAAGTAAATATTTAAAATTTTAATATGGTAAATATCAGTAGATGAAACATAAAACTCTGAGTCTCAATTTTTTCCTAATTAAAAATATATTTATTTATTTATTTATTTTTATTTATTTATTTATTTTTTTTTTGGTCTTTTTGAGATAGGGTCTCTCTGTAGCCCCAGCTGTCTTGGAACTCGCTGTGTAGACCAGGCTGGCCTTGAATTCACAG